AAAACAGTCTGCTAATGCGATGCTCGTTTCAACGCAAGTGAGAGATTCATATCCATATAGCTAGAGTGGGGGAGGGAGAGAGAGAGGGAGAGGAAGAGGGAGAGGGAGAGGGAGAGAGAGGGGGGGAGGGGGAGGGAGAGAGGGAGAGAGAGAGAGAGAGAGAGAGAGAGAGAGAGAGAGAGAGAGAGAGAGAGAGAGAGAGAGAGAGAGAGAGAACAGAGGCGCTGATTCATCAAAAATGTTTTAAGCTGGGTGACTCAGAAGACAGACAGGAGAGGAGAAGAAAACGCAAAACACTCTAAAATAGGGTATTCACTCCATTTGTCTTCTCCGACAAATGCAGAAGTACAATAAGAAAATCCGTGGAAAGAAGCGACAACAAGTGGGCAGAGAAAAAGTATACAGGGTGTCTGATGCAAAAGTAGCCAACTTGAAAATAGTGGTAGATTGGGTTAAACTAAGGAGAAATATCATGTGCCGCGGTACAAAAGTAACAATAGTTATCGAGTAATTAATTTGCACGTCTGAGCGAATGAGGATGCAGAATACGGTAGGCCGGACTCGGAAGGCATTTAAGAAAATCGATCGATGAGCGGGAGGTGGAGCGACGCGCGAGATACTATGGGCTTGTTTTCTGTTCCTGCACTGGTGAACTAGTGCAGTAAGCTAGAATGAGAAAAAATATACTTGTCTTACTCCAATTTATTGCACTAGTTCATCAGTGCAGGAACAGAAAACAAACCTTATGTTTATAGTATGTTTCGGGTCGCCCGTCGCTCGCGCTCGCTGCCGCGCTTGCCGCCTGCGCCGCGCTCCCCGCCGCGTCTAGGTTTTTTCCCACCACGGTGTATCTCGCGTCGCTCCACCTCCCGCTCATCGATCGATTTTCTTAAATGCCTTCCGAGTCCGGCCTACCGTCTCCTGCATCCTCATTCGCTCAAACGTGTAAATTAATTACTCGATAACTATTGTTACTTTTGTACCGCGGCACATGACATTTCTCCTTAGTTTAACCCAATCTACCACTATTTTCAAGTTGGCTACTTTTGCATCAGACACCCTGTATATGTATAAATAGAAAAAAAGGGATAAAGAGAGAGGTGTGTGTAAATAGGGCTCGGAAAAATGGGCGGAAATGAGTAGAATAAAATGACTCAGAAAATTGACTGTGTCTATCAGAGATGGTGCATAGAAGCTTGCAGAGGAAGGAGGAAAATTGAATGGTATTTGTTGAGAATGTCAGAAAGAGATAGTGATACGACTAGTGATGGAGTTCAAACACACGTGCCGGATATTTCATAGTTAATAATAATTAATCGTAAATTGTCCTAGATGTAATGTTTTACATATTATTTTATTGCACATGTAAAATTGCATTTTATACATATAAGAAATATAAATAGAATTTTTCAAGAATATGTTTATATATTTAAGTAATCATTATTCATAAATAATGATTTCCAAACAATACATATTTTTTATATTAAATAAGACTCTAGCATTTTCTAGTATTTTATGATATACTTTTATTCTACATATGTGTATATTTTATAACACGTACTATACTTTGTATTTGTGTTTTTTAATTTATGTAATACTTAACATTTGTTTAATTCAGTAAATTCTGCCGTAATTTTCACAATTAAGTACGATAATGTTGGCAATACGATTTAATAATCATTTTTAACAATACATTTGCAAAAATATTTAAAAATCACAGACGTGACAATTTCCAGTTATTGAATTAATATCTGACCTATCTGACAAACGTTGATCTCTCGATATTTTAATGCTATCAGTCTTATACCGATCTTTCACAACAATTGACGTCTTTTTTAAAAAATTTTATATCTACTCCATATGGGTTACTGTTCAGAGTGATTCGTTCCTCCATGTATTCTTATATTACTACCAATGTCACCCATTTTTTGCTGTCACATCTAATGGGTTGTTAAGAATTTTTAATACTTGATAAGGACCAGTATCACTGGTCGAAACGTTGTATGTTTTAAACGAAATATATTGTGCCAGTTAATTGTCGACGTTATCCTTATTATTTGTTGATATATTTAATTCAATATTTAATTCAATAATATTTGATAAATAATAAGAATACCTCGATTTTGAAACGTATCTATCATAAAAATATATCATAAATAAAATATGAAAATTTTAATTACTTTTTATCTTAATATGATATAATTTAATTTAACCTAAGCGAAGTTTTATTACTAATATAATAATAACACTTAATATGAATTGATTTGTAATACTAAGTACGTTAACAATACTTAAGTACTAACAACAATGCATATACTATTATACACTGGTCAAAAAAATTAACGCAACAAGAAATTTACATCAAAATTTGGCGAATTTCAAATAAGCGTAACTTCGCGAAAACTGGTCGAATTGAAAGTTTTTTTTTCATTTTATAGGGCAAAGTCTCTGCTTTAAGAAGCTCTTATTGGAATTTGCATTCACTCTTCCCATTTCCCGGAACTTTCTGAAAATCATGACCATGTTTCTTCTCTAAAAAATTGCACACTTTGACGCACTGTGCGGAGTGTAGTAATTTTTCTTCGCCAGTTCTGCTTACGGTATCAAAAAGTGTATACTTTTCTCTTCAATTTAAAAAAAAAAAAGTTCCTACGATTTTTTTTCGCCAAATCACAGCTCATTGAAATAACCCTTGTGTTTTCGACATTACCGACGATATCTACGAACTATCCGTTAAAAATCATCGTAGCAAGATCGTTTTTTTAAAATTAAAGCTTGCACTCTCAGCTTCAAAACTAGTCACCAGATTTTTCCTCGAATGCATCTGCGCTGCTGTAGCTTTTAAAATGTAAGGACATGTTTTTACCTAAAAACTAACCAACTTTGGCCAGGTGCCCGGGCGTAGGAAATTTTTCCTCGCTAATTCTGTTCGAAGTATCAAAAAGTGTGTACTTTTCCCTTCAATTTAAAAAAAGAAGAAGTTACTGCGATTTTTTTTCGCCAAGTTACAGCTTTTTGAAGTAACCCTTGTATTTTCGTTCATTACCGTCGACATCAGCGTAACCCAATGTGCACGTGGAGGTTGCCGTTCGGATTTTGCACATCGTGTGGCCCTGAAGAGGGCCAGTGGTATATTCATATCGAACATACTGGGATATGATGGGAAGAAGGCTGAGTGACTTGTAGGACCACACGATGTGCAAAATCCGAACGGCAACCTC